CGAGGATGGCAAGGCAAGTGGCACCTACGCTATTACTCCTACCACAGGCGTGGCGAGTGGCCATGTTGGAGGCGGGGAGGGACATGGTTTGGATGTGCTGCAGTGATCAATTCCATCTAGCATAATTAAGGACGAGTTCGACGTTGGACCGCCCCAACGCCCCTCACTTCAGGGGTGGAGCATGGTGCGGTGCGTGATCGGACGCCGGTGAACGACGTTGCACAGTGCACACCACATAAGGCTGATTTTTGGCGAAGCGAGTTCAGGGATGTTGGCGGAGGCAGCGAGAGTGCCAGGTGAGAGAGAGAAGGGCAGGTGTGGTGACAATGTTGAGTAAAGGCCTATGTCATCGGTGAGGGAGGATGTCAGGCTGTCAACATGGACCCTGCAGACTTGCTTGAGGAGCGGTTGAGGCAGATGGTTGTTGGATGTGCCACAACAGAGCGGCTTGCGTTGGAGCAGGACATGCCCAGAGCGAGGGAGATGGGGTGTGATGTGCAGGACGTGACAGCCGCCAGGTTAGCGGCAGAGCGTGTAGAGGTTTATCTTGGAGGGGGAGGGGATGGTGGAGGTAACAGCGTGGGAGGAGACGAGGGTAAGGACGACAATGGAGATGAGGAGGACGCAAGGGGTGGGTTGAAGGCCATTTGTGGAGATTCCATCACTCGATGTCGCGATGATGATGAGGACGATGGCGGCGCTGGTGCCACCACGGCAGACGCCAGTGGGTTGGTCGGATGCGCAAGAGCATCGATGCAGAGCGAGGAGTGGCAAACACAAGTGAGGCTGAGGGCGGGGGCATCGGACAGCCCGACGATGGTCGATGCGGGCGTTCGATGACACTGCAAGTATGAACAACGGCAGGGGCGCAGGCGGGTGAGGGAGTTGAGGCGGGGGGACGAGTTGACGACAACACATGCGATTGAGATGACATTGTGGTGAGGAGGAGGGGAGGGGGGGGTGAGGTAGTTCTCGACGCCCCTGTTCAGACACCGATGCCGACCATGTCCCCACTGAAGTGTAGGTGATGGCTGATAGGAGAGGACGATTCTCGTGTCAAAGATGGACGGACGTGTATGCGCTTGCTCTTGTGCCTCCTAATCCTTCGGTGTCGTCGGGCGTATCGGGGGTTTGTGGGCACAATTTTTGGCCGTCAGGGACTTGGGGACTGCTTCCCATCCCATAGCTGACAAAGATAGTCAAGTGCAGCTAGTACATAAGCAACTACATTACCTGTCAACTCACTTATTCATTGTAATGTTGCAGAAGCAGGGGCCAAGTCCCACTTACCCGAATTCTCGATTTCCGACTGTAGAAAATGAAGATCAAAGGCAAGAAATGAAGAATCCAGCCAAGTGGGACTTCGCAACGTCTGCCAGTCTGAGAGATTAAATTACCGTGAACTCTCTCAGAGTCTGAAGGTGGGTAAGGAAAAAGGCATCGAAATTGGGTAAGAGGGGTGAAGGAGGGGGAGGAATTACATGTGCGCTTGACAGCAAAGAAGGGCCTTGCTGCACTTCTCTCCAGATGCACACAAGACAAAAAAAATATGGCCGCTGTGTATCTTTCCATGATCTGGCGGAAGATTCATTCTCATTTTGCATATTTGGTGAATAGTGGAGTGAGGCCCAATGGCTGGGAGGCACAGGGGCTGTGACGGACCCGCCGGGATGGCGGTCCGTCAGGATCAAGACAAAGGGATGAGGATGGGGGAGATGGAGATGGAGCTGGAAGGGACAGCGCAGCTCCAACGCAGACTCAACACGCACGTACTCCAATCTGTGCAAATGAAGAATGAGCCACAAAATAGACGGCAGCTGGGGTATACCCCCAGCGGACTGACTGGACTGGACTGGACTGGCCTGGTACCGACAGTGGTACCGGGCAGGACTGGACTGGACTGAATAATCACACGGCCTGTGGGGTCAGGCCACCGTCTGGTCCCACAGGCCGGACTGGCAAATAGCCAAATAGGCCCTGGCTGTGGGCCAGGGCAGATGAAGGCCCGCTGCACGATCCTCAGACCTGTAATGGATCGCAAGAGCCATAAACACGCTATCCGCAAAAGCAGCGGAACTCTGCAATAAAGAAAGCTGAGAAATCTAGGATGCGGAGCAAGCTCCATGCGTAGTCCATGCGATGCATCCTAAACTATATAATGTCAAAAGAAAAGAAAATGTCTGGTATACATATCCTAGCTAACAGCAGAAAATCAAATGTAGTATGATACACTCCTAAAGTCCTGGAGGCAGTGGCCTCAGTGCTGAAAGGAGAAGAGCGATATGTCACAAGATAATGTCATGTCGCTGAACCACTAAAAGTGGGATGGTCTTAGAGGGGGTGAATGCAGCCTAAGAATCGAAACTCCGAAGGGCAGTCACACATGAAGGTGGGATAGGTCATCAGGCTCAAGGTGGGAGAGTGGTAGCGAAACAAAACCAATGACCCTAACAGATAGACCATCAAGGCGGGTAATGCTCGACAAGGGTGACACCATGCAGGGTYGACCATGAAAATGGGGAGCCTGGAATAGGGTGGAGATATGCCTAACTGAAGGCATGCAAGGGCCG